TTTCTAATTTTATTTATTTGAGTTTTCTCTCTTTTTTCTTAGTGATTCTGGCTAAGGGTTTGTCAATTTTGTTTATCTTCTCAAAGAACCAGCTCTTAGTTTCATTGATCCTTTCTACTTTTTTGGATTCTATTTCATTTATTTCTGCTGTAATTTTTATTATTTCCCTCCTTCTGCTGACTCTTGGGTTTATTTGTTCTTCTTTTTCTAGTTCTGTTAGGTATAGTTTAAGACTAATTATTTGTGATTTTCCTTGTTTGTTATGGTGGGCCTGTGTTGCTTTGAGTATCCCTCTTAGGACTGCTTTTGCTGCATCCCATAAGAGTTGGTATGGTGTAATTTTCATTTTCATTTGTCTCTAGATACTTTTTGATTTTTCCTTTAATTTCTTCATTGATACATCAGTTGTTCAGGAGCCTGTTGTTTAGTCTCCACATATTTGTCACTTTCCCAGATTTTTTCTTATAGTTGATTTCTAGTTTCATAGCATTATGGTCAGAAAAGATGCTTGATATGATCTCAATGTTCTGAAATTTATCGAGGTTTTCCTTGTTTCCCAACATATGATCTATCTTTGAGAATGTCCATGAGCACTTGAGAAGAATGTGTATTCTGCTAATTTTTGATGGAGTGCTCTATACATATTTATTAAGTCCACCTGGTCTAGTTTTTTGTTTAATTCCACTATTACTTTATTGACTTTCTGTCTGGATGACCTATCCATTGATGTAAGTGGGATGTTGAGGTCCTCTACTATTTTTGTGTTGCTGTTATTTCTCCTTTTAGGTCTGTTAATCGTTGCTTTGTGTACTTTGGTACTCCTGTGTTAGATGCATACATATTTATAAGTGCTATGTCCTCTTGGTGGAGTGTCCCTTTTATCATTATATACTGCTCCTCTTTGTCTCTCATTGCCTTTTTTCTCTTGAAGTCTACTTTGTGTGATATAAGTATGGCAACACCTGCTTTCCTTGTTTGCCATTAGCTTGGAGTAGCCTCTTCCATCCCTTCGCTCTGAGCCCCTGTTTGTTTTTAGAGCTGATATGTGTTTCCTGGAGGCAGCATATTGTTGAGACTTGCTTTTTCATCCATCCATCCACTCTCTGTCTTTTGATTGGAGAATTTGATCCACTGACACTTAGAGTGATTATTGATATATGAAGGCTTAATACTGCCATTTTATCTCTTGTTTTCTAATCATTCCATATTTCCCTTGTTTCTCATCCCATATGTTTCCGACTGCCAATTCAGTTTGGTGTCTCTGTATGATTACTCTCATTATTTATCATTTGTGTCTCTATTTTGATTTTTTGTTTAGTGGTTGCTGTGAGGTTTGTATAAAAGTTCTTATAGATGAGATAGTCCATTTTCTGATAGCCTCTTATTTCCTTAGTCTAAGAAGGTCCCATCCCTTTCCTCTTCTCCCTTATTCTGTTTTGTATTGTATTTGTGATTAAAATGAAGTGATTATATTTATTATTGATGCTTTCCTTCCTTTCACTTTAATATTATAGTTAAATGTTTGCTAACCTGTTCTGATAGAAAGCTGCAATTTTCTAATTTTGGCTGCCCATCTCCTTGCTCACGGTTCTGTAGACCCCTTCTTTTTTTTTCTAGTATGAAGGCCTTCTTGATCATTTCTTGTAGGGGAGGTCTTATGGTGGTGAACTCCCTCAGCTTTTTTTCATCTGGGAAAGTGTGTATTTCTCCATTGTATCTGAAGGATAGTTTTGCTGGATAGAGTATTCATGGCTGAAAGTTTTTGTCTTTCAGAATTTTGAATATATCATTCCATTCTTTCCTAGCCTGTAAGGTTTTTGTTGAGAAATCTGCTGAAAGCCTAATACAGGTTCCTTTGT